GGGGATCAATCAGGTGGGTGGGGGTATTGGAGGACGGCAGTGAAAAGAGGGTGGGAGGTCACGCGAGCAGTGTGAAGAGTGAAATCAAGAAAAACATCGCATGTGGGTATTGTAGTAATCTCCAACTAGCTTAGCCATCGCTACGGTATAGAGCCAAACATTGAGTAATGAACCAAAACACCTTTTTCCCTCAAAATAAGTACCGAGGTAAACGTCCGTGGCCTCAGAAACCAGACTTTCTCTTGCCCTTCTTCTTCGGCGAACGCATCGCGTGCCGTCCGGATATTGGCTGCGACATGACCTGCGGAATCTGCGACGACATGACGGCCTTCGAGGACCGCATCGGCGAGACCTGGCTCGACCCGATGATTGGCGGCGCGGCAGACTTGGGCAGCGGTTGCGTGGCGGGGGCCTCCGACGGCAGCGGCACGCTCGCGCTCCCCGCCGGCCCGGAGTCCTCAATCTCGGACTGCGTGGCTGCTGCCGCCGTCTGCGACGAAGCGAGCTGCGACTTGCGCCTGCGGCGTTTGGATTCGATGCGCTCCTTGCGCTCTTTGATGGCGTCCATGTGCTTTGTCGAGGAGGCAAGGACGGAGGAGACGTAGTTCTCTGTCGGCACGCCGCGTCTGGTGGGCCAGTAGGAGAGGACCGTATGCTGACGGGTCGGGCCCTCTGTCGTGTTGATGTCTGCAGCGAGCATGCTCAGGCGTTGGAGGGCGCTCGAGGCGGCCAGTGCTGCGTCGGCGGAGGCGGCAGAGGATTGGGACTGTGGTTGTGAGGAGGAGAAGGGGTTTGAGGAGTACGGCGCGGAGGAGGAGGGTTTGGAGGGGGATTTCATAGGGGACATTGAGCGGCGGGGTTTCAAGGGGGACATGGAGAGCCGCGGCTTGATCGGCGACAGCATTGGCCGTGATGCTTTGATCGGAGACATCGAGTCGCGTGGTTTGAAGGGCGACATTGATAGACGTTGGCTTCCTAGCGAGGATCTCTGGCTGGACATTGAGAGGCGCTGGCTCGGCTGCCGAGATTGCAGCTCGGGTGGCGTTGGAACCCAAGTGGACGGCTCGTCTTCTGCGACTGGGATGTTTTCGTCGAGGACCGCCACGCCGAAGAGGGATCTCGCGATCGCTTCTGCGGTTTCGGCGAGCACGACGCTGCGAGAGTGCTGTGCGCGTTCGGGGAGATCCGGCGAGTTCCATAATTCTTCGAGTTTGCGGCGGATGTCCGCCAAAGGTGTCACGTCTCCCTGGCTTAGGAGTTGGGATGTAAATGGCTGAGCGACGATGCGTTGATCGTTGACATTCAAAAATTCCTGGAGACGCGCATCCCAAGCGGTGATGGCTTCGTTGCCCATTGGAGGTGCTTCAAATGTCGCCTCATATTCGTGCCTAACATATGTTAATAAACCAAGACTTATCATCTCGTTTCATGTTGGACTCACAAAGTGTGTAAAGGGATGTAGCCTCCCTCCGTATCATGGCAATTAACCGTCGCATCTTGGATGGCGTCAAAAACGGATAGGGGACCCTCAATGCTAGGCGTTTCAGCAGCCATGACGACTGAATCGATGGACATGGCGACTCGAGACAGGAAAAGGTCGAAATTCTGGGTCCTTGGCCATCGTTGCTGTAGTTGCTCAGCGTCTCCTCCTTGGGTTTGCTGCAAGATTTCTTGGTATCTAGTGGCACGACGCTGCACGAGCTCGTCCATGTCTCCCAATCCATCAGGCACCACAAACGTATCTCCAAAGTGATGCAGAAATTGCTTCCGCCTCCTTTTGTGGGCCCTCCTTCGAGCATCTTTGGACCAGTCGCGGCTATAGTCTGGTGGGATGATCTCAAGGTCAGGTTTTGATGTGACAGCCATGATGGTTTGCTCCAAAGCCAAATCCCTCCCGAGAACGAACAACTGCTGGAAGCCAACCTGCTGATTTAGGTATTCCGCACCGAGGCCCTTCAGCGGCTCCGATGACTGGCTAGTGAAGAAGGCTGGAGTTGGACACAAAGTCTGTATCTTCAGCGGCTTCTCGCCGGGCCCCTTTTCGAGCATCATCATAAAATGCTGAAACTGGGGCAGGCCCGTCTTCTCGGGTATGGATAACCAAAACAGCTCAACTTCTGGTGACTTCTCCGAATAAAGATACGCGATGCAACTCTCGTTGCCCAGTCCATGTCCACTATGATGGACCGTAAGCCTCAGAGAGTCGGCATCTGAGATTCGAAGATGTGCGAATGACTGTAGTATGGCAAGCCCTCCAGTCTTGACCGCCGTCGGTGACGATGTTTCCATCCAGAAAAGAGCCGATGTTGTAAGAACGACTACTTGACTGCGATTCACTGGATTTGGCTTTACATCGAGGATATAATCCGGCACATCCGACTTGAGTATCGACAAGCTGTGCCGGTAGCTTGGGTCTTTTGTGTCAATCACCTCGAACTTTGTGCGGTTCCAGATCATGAGCTTTTTGGACCGTGCAGTCATCGCCGCCAAATCATTCTCCATTTCCAGGTCCTCGATGGCGGGTATATCCCAAAGATCCACGCCCACGCCAGCGGCACCGATCCACAACAGCCCATGAGGCTCTGCGCGGAAGGCTGGCGAGTCTTCGTCAGGTAGCTGTTCCGTGATGCCCAGCTGAATCTGTCCGCAGTGTCTTAACTTGGCACGCTTGCTTGTTGACCCGACCATGTCTCGGCCCTTGACATCCCAGACACTATAGTAGCCACACTCGTCGATGATGGCCAGCTGTGGAGGCTTCCTCTGAGACCCGTAACTGAAGGAGACATCGGAGTGTGGAAAGCCGCCCGTCTGCTCCGAGGTGATGGTCAAGATGGGCTTTGGGTTGATTCGGGAGGGGCGTTCAACTGCCTTGTCAATACCCGGCCGACGCTCTGATACTGGAATTCTGTGGTACTCCGGCTGGAGGACCGTGGTTGATGTCCTCTTTTGCACCAGCAGCCATCGAGTGGGCTCGAATCGCACCAAGCTAAGCGCAGGCTTGAGTTGCAGAATAGGAGCTCCGTCACTGGACCACAGCACAGTCTCCTCCCTGTCCTGCTGATCGACATTCAAAAGACGAAGCGTAGGGTTCTCGTCTTCACCCCACTGCCATTTTGTCTCGTCCAGCCTAGATAGCCGAAGAAGCTCCCCAGACTCGCCAGTGGCCATGGCCAGCACCGGAACCGGGGAGATGCGAGTGTGGTTACTAACGTCTGCCATCTGGCTAATGGTCATGAGCGGTTGTGCCGTGGGGGTGGCGTCGGGGCGCATCATCTGAGAGAGGCCCTCAGCCAAGAAGCCGGCAGCATCGGAGCTTCCGATGTATGCTTCCGGGTGGGCGTTGAACAACCATCGTCTCTGCACACGTTGCGAGTCCCATACAGTCGAGGCAGGTGCGTTCTCCGTAGATCTGGCTGAGGGGTACAATGTTTCCAGAGGCTGAATGATGCGAAGGGCTCGAGCTGGTCCGGCGTCAGTATCGTGAAAGACAGGCTTTCGGCGGCCGACCTACCCAGACTTGGAACACGGCTGGCATGCAGCTGAGGCGGTCCTTCCTCGAGGCCTTCATGAGGAACGATTGTAATTCTTGGGGGGCCGTACAAGCGGCTGGTCTCTTCCCGTACGTCAGCCATTAGACCCGGTCGTTTCCCTTAGATCCAAGCAATATGTCCGTGAGAAACTGAGCATATCGTGAGAAGACGACGGCGTGTGTTGCATCATGCGATGGTTGGTTTTAGTGGACGGTGACGGACTAGGCACAGTCGGTGACCATATGGCTGCCTGTTAACGGTCGATATCCAAGAGAACAGGCGTCAAAAAGAAGCAAATGCTGGCATTCGCAGCAAGATTGGTGTCATAACGAGATGGGACGGGTGAGACATGCGACTGAGACTGAGAAAGAGGAAAAGTTCGGTCAATCGCGGCTCACAGGCGCGAATGCGACGCCCATTTCCGGTAGTTGCGGTGTCCACCTTGGGACCCAGCCAATCCCTGCACCGCGCAAAGAGCTTTCTGCACCAGCGCGTCCGACGCGTTTCCAAGGTTGCGTTGGGTTCGGCCCACGACTAAGGTGGCCCCGCTTCCGCTAAACACTACCTTGGGTACCTAGGTACACTAAGGTAGGCGGGCACCTTTGATGGCGGTCACTGAACATCACCCACCTCACTGCATCTCGCCGCGCTCCGACGTCTCACTCCCCTGACGCATTGCCCATGAGACCCCGAGGCCGAGGATAATCGCCATTTCACAAAATGCCCGCCGACGACAGGACCGGAAAGCAGGCTGCCGCACAGCAGGCTGTCGACATCCTCCACGAGATCTCTGTCATTCTCGTAAGTTCTCGCTGCCGCGCCTGGCTCACCCTCCCGGAGATCTTACTCTGACCATTTTCACGTGAAGAACTGCCATCTGGACCGCCGCACGCTCTCAATCTGCATCTCCATGATTGAGAATGGTGTCAACCCCGAGGCTCTGGCAGTAAGTAGTAGGATGTACCGTGCCGTGCAAACGCCCCAAGCTCATGTGTGTACTTTTCAGACTGTCGTCAAGGAGCTGAGGAAGGAGGCCCAAGAGGTGGATGCGCAGATTGCTTCCCGTCGTCGATGAGAGAGGATACACGATGGTCTACCCGAGGCGCTTGATCATGACAGTCACGACATTAGGAGACGGTTAGGATGGACGGAAACAACGATTTCACGGCGTTCTTTGGCGTTGGGTTTGTTCAAAATCGTTGATATTCTATTATGGAGACTTCCTAGAACCCAGTCTCCATGGGTGTACGAAATTCAATGTCCCACTCCAGGGCTGGCAAATGTGGCCTCCTGAGAACGCCGGCATCCAGAACCCAACCAAAGCTGTGCCCGCCATCCAAACCATGACCTATGAAACCCGTATGTCCAGACTATGATACCGTCACATGCCCCTTTGCGCCGTTCTCGATCCCGTCGCACAACCCGAGCGATACACCTAATCATTCATAACATGACGGCACGTCTGCCAGATCAACGGTGACCAATGAGCATGAAGTCATTGTCATCGTCATCGTCGTCGTCGTCTTCCTCATCATACTCATCGTCCTCTTCCTCCAAGTCGGTAGACATGGAATCGCTGTCTTCTTCAGACCTACGTTGAAACCGACCCCAAAGGTTCAGTATATCGTTGTCTGATTCCTCCTCCCCGATCGCGCCATGCAAAGGGTTTCGTGCGAGACTCGGTGGTAGACCGGGTGTAGGCGCTGGAGAGGCTGATCTTGCCAAGCGATCTAGCACCAAGAACCGTGCCTGTGCCTCATTTGAGGCGTGTGAGGAATGTCGGCGCCTTCCAATGGTAGTGCCCGTGGCAGTCCCGTCAGTGGCGATAGTTGACGAAGGGTCAAGGATCCCTGTACTGCCGTCCGTGGCCCCAGCCAACGGACTATCCAAGATTGCAGCCATCTCCAAAATGGCAGCAGGCGTTGGAGGGTCGATTGGAAGTGGCCGTGTGGTTCTTGCCCCATCCCTTCCACCGCGGCTGGGAATAGCTTGTGCGGTAGCTGCGCCTTCTCTTCCGCCGCTGATCTGCAATTCTACCGTGTTGTACGAGGTGCATATGGCGCACTTGAGGCCCAACCAGTGATAAGGTACCGAGCTGCGTCCACTGCAGTCATTGCAAAGAACCGTAGCGCGCGTGTCCCTAAATTCTGGAGGCATGGGCTGGCTCAGAATCGCCAACTCCAACTGACGAAATTGGCTTTGCATGTTCAACAAACTCTTGTTGCAGATTGGACACTTGTATGAACGCAACATGTGTTCGTCATAGCATCTCTTGTGAATGCTGTGACCACAGGGCATGAACACGACAGGCTTGGGAGAGGTGAACATGTAATCTCCACAAATTGGACAGTCGCAGTCTGTCGAACGTTCGATACACTTGTGTGAATGCTGAATCGATATTGAGATGCAAGCACAGCATTTCTAGAGCTCAGGGTCAGCAGTAGTCCACCTCGTAGCGCAAAGAAGAGGGTAGTCACCTTGCAATGGAAGAAGTCCTTCCCGATGCCTCTTCCTTTCCTACAAATGCCGCAATCGCTGCAGTGGTAAATACTCTTGGTTGGATCATCGTCCCACAGCTTGCATACGTTGCAGTAGTAGCGAGCGGCGGTCACGCCACAGTTGACGCAAACCTCTGACGCCCTTTGAGGACAAGCACAGAGCATGCAGAGCATGTTTTTGGTTTCCTTCCTAATGAGAGTGTGATCTTCGACAGCGTCATGACAAAACCGACATGTGTACCACTTGTTGCAAGTCGAGCATTGCAGCTTAATGTTGCGCTTGTAGTGCTGGCAGCCCAGAACCCTTGCGCCCTCGACCTCTCCAGGAATCGTAGGCTTTGCCGGGGCGTAGGTTGGCCTGACATCTTCTGCCGTCAACACAAACTTTTCCGGGGAGGATGGCTCCCCTGGAGGATGCTGCCAGAACTTCAGGGACTCCAGGGGTCCCGATGGGAGTGTTTGTTCCCACGCTTCGCCGGCCGGCAGAGCATCCACAGGCGGGTCGCCTTGTTGGGGAGCAACACGGGACTTGCGGTAGCCCTCCATCAGCACCTCGTGCATGAGCCTGGCCTTTTCCTCCCCCCGTATCTCCTGGCCTTGGATTTCGATAAGGCGCTTTCGCAATGCGCCCATGCCATCGTCAGCCGGCAAGGCCTCACGCTTGGGGACCTGCATCGGGACGGTGATGGGGAAGGATTCCGGGGGCGCACGTGCTGGTTCGGACGGGGGCTGCTCGGCTTCGACGGTCGGCGATAGAGTATCTGCGCTGAGAGGTCGGTCCGGAGGAGTCACCGCAGGCGCATCGGTCGCATGCCGAGGGGCGGGGGCTTCCGAGTCGCTGGCAACCGCGAGGTTGTCGGAGGAAGAAGCGTCGGGTTCGGGGACGAGAGTGGTTCTCGAAATCTCAGAAAAGCGGCGTGCTTGCCGGAGGACCGGGTTGATGATGAACTCGGAGACCAAAGAAGACATTGGGGACGAGGCGTCTTCTGGATCTAGGTTCGGATGACCGAGTTGGCTACGCAGCAAGTGACACTCGGTTGTATGACAAGGCGTACATCCAGAGCGACAGGCAGCAAGAAGATGAGGAGTAGGTTGGCCGGGGAGGCTCGGGAAAGATATACAAAGGAGCGGTGGTGGTAGAGGCGGTGGTAGTAGCGGTGGTAGAGTTGGTGTCGGTAGTGGTACGGTCCCGGTCGATTGGATGCAGACGAGATGACATAAGATGGTCTCGAACTCCAGTGCGCTGGCTTGTCGTCGGCGGCGGCGCTCGTCGGGGTGGACGCAGTGGGGATGAACTGCGGCAGGACAAGACGAGACAAGTGCAGTCAGGCCAAGACGAGCGACTGTTTGTCTGGCACAAGTGTCGGAGAGCCGAAGTCTGCACCGCAATGGGGTCGGTCAGAGTCAATAGCGACTAAGACTTCGATTTGACGACGGATCAACCCAGACCAGACGGGGCCAGGAGGGGGGACGGAGCGGACGGGAAGGGACAAAAGACATGTGATGCGCCTGGCTGGAGATTCCGCATGCGGCTTGAAGTCGAGAGGCTTGACCGGCGGGGCTGATTGGCCGCGACCGGTCCGGCACAGGCGACGACCCCCTTTTTTCTTCCCTGAGGGTGGTGGTGCCCGGGTGAAGAACACCGCTGGACGGGTATTCCTCGCTGCTGTCTGCGCAGTTCTTTACTGGGTGCCTGATTATCTAAGACACCCGACGGAGTGCCTTGCAGAACCTAAGGTACCTACTGCGGTGACTATCTTACGGAGCACAGCAAGGCACGCAGAGGGAAGCTGAGCATCTGAGAAGGAAGAAAACATATTCTTGCTTCTCTGTCCACGCACGACTCAGCATCCCGCCGCCCAAGACTCCGCCCATTGTCGCGACGCTCGAGGTTGCACACACCGACGCCCGAGTTCTGAGCCCACCCTCCGCCGACTTTTGCGTTGCACCGTACGGCAAGGAAGACGCGGCGGATGCCCATCGATGTGCACTGGCATTTCCGGCAGGGTCCGAAAACAGGGACCCCATCCAGAGGCCCGGAAGGGTTAGCGCCGCCAGAGCTTCGGCCAGAGGAGCCACAGCTGTCAACTTGAAGACAAGACATTGTGCTTCTGACGCTTCTTACGTGGATGCTGGCCTGTGTGTCTGTCCCGCATCGCCTGGCGGCATCGTGTGGCCTTGGACGGGACGGGCATCCCGTTATGGCTTGGTGCTAGGAAGCAGTAGGAAAGGCACGCGTTCCTGGGGGCGTTAGTCAGCTCGGATTGAGGACAGACAGACAGTGATGGCCAACTACACAGCATGCCGTCACCATGTGCCTCATCAGTATCCGTGCCGATGAGTAGTATTTGTAGTCGGGGCCCAGAACTCAGGATGAGATGCAGCGTGGGAGGATGCTCGATATAGGAGGCTGATCACACAGCGGGCGACGATGCACCGTGGGGACTTTAGGGGGAGGCAGCTGTGGGGGCAGGGGGTAGTGGAGGGGCCATTTTGTGATTTAGGGCCATTCAGGGCCATTCCATCGAGAAGGAATGCGTGTCCCGTCCGCCAAAGGACGCAGCTTCGTCCAATGGCAGCCCCCAAATCGATTGGCCGGCTCCCGGGGACTGGATTCGCGTAAAGTGCGGGTTGGTCTGGAAGGGAGGGATACCGTGTCGGTTGGTGCATAGGTGGCATTTATTTCGTGTGTCCAGCAAGGGGGCGCTCCTGCGCTCCTCCAGCTGGGTACGCTCCATGGATTCTACCTTGTTGCTTGCTCTGCCACTGCCTGCCTGCCTCTACGGATACCTGGCCCTTGCCTTAGATGCTCCCGATTTAGCAGGGCCTCACCAAAAAATTCCCCCGTCATCCAATTGCCCAGGTCCATATTAATTGGATGATTCCCTTTCAGCTGTCCACTTCTCGAGGTCCTTCTTCCTTCAGCAACCCCTTCACGATCTTGTTGATGAGGAGCTGGACATCCCGTAGCCCCAGGAGCACACCATTCACTTTTGTTTGAGGTGCGGCTTCATTTGGCTCTGTGGTCCTTTCTTACCGTCTTCTCCAGTCCGGAGAATTTCAGGTTCCTACTTTTATTTTTACACTTTGAGTCTTGACTCGTCCGATCCTTAACGCGGAAAGCTCAGAGCTCCTGTTCCTGTTCTTGGAGCTTGACTCTCTCGCCTTCCCTACCACACACCCCCTAAACCGCGTTCGTCAAGACCTCTGGTCTTTCCGTCTTTTCCAGTCAGTAGGTCGCCCTTCCACTGCATTCCTGCCCTCTTCAGCCCTTCCGTTTGCTGACCTTGCCTTTGCGCAGTCATGGCTGCCGAGAAGACAGTGATCGCGTCCGGCGCGGACGTCGGCGATGGCGTCAGACGAAGAGCCGCCCCCCAGGGCCAGTCAGTTCCCGTAACGGCTGCCCCTGAGACCGATGACAAGAAGAAGTACGCCAAGAAGGTAATTGGCCCCTGTTTCGAGCCTGTTCTTTGTCCATACGAGAGAGCTCCGTGCTGACGACACAACCCCCCAGCAGACATCATTTTTCGACGAGTGGGAGGTAGTCATTGCTCCTCTCATCTTCACGGCCGTCGCAATCTTCACCCGACTCTGGAAGATTGGCATTAGCGATATTGTCACTTGGGACGAGGCGCATTTTGGCAAGTTCGGAAGCCACTACATCAAGCATGAATACTACTTCGACGTCCACCCGCCCCTGGGCAAGATGCTCGTTGGTCTGTCTGGAGTTCTCGCTGGCTACAATGGATCTTTCGAGTTCAAGTCTGGCGAGAAGTACCCCGAGGATGTGAACTACACCTTCATGAGAGCTTTCAACGCTTTCTTCGGCATCGTCTGCATTCCCATGGCCTACTTCACTGCTCGCGAACTGAAGCTGAGACGCCCCGCCGTCTGGCTCGTCACCCTTATGGTCTTGTGCGAGAACTCCTACACCACCATCAGCCGCTTCATCCTCCTCGACTCGATGCTGCTTTGCGGAACTTTCGCCACAGTCCTCTGCTGGTCCAAGTTCCACAACCAGCGCCACAACTCCTTCGAGCCCGAATGGTTCTTCTGGCTGTTCATGACGGGTCTCAGCATTGGTTGTGTCTGCAGTGTCAAGCTCGTCGGCCTCTTCGTCACTTCCCTCGTTGGTCTCTACACCATTGAGGACCTCTGGAACAAGTTCGGCGATGTTCGCATGCCCGTCACTACCCTCGGCGCACATGTTGCTACTCGTGTCGTCGGCCTCATCATCCTCCCGTTCCTGGTTTACATGCTCACTTTCGCCATGCACTTCGCCATTCTCGACCACACCGGCCCTGGCGATGCGCAGATGAGCTCCCTCTTCCAGGCCAACCTCAAGGGTACCGAGGTCGGCAAGAACAGCCCTCTCGAGATTGCTTACGGATCTCGCGCCACAATCAAGAACATGGGCTACGGAGGTGGTCTGCTTCACTCCCACGTCCAGACCTACCCCGAGGGTTCCGGCCAGCAGCAGGTCACTTGCTACCACCACAAGGATGCCAACAATGACTGGTTTTTTTACCCCAACCGCCACGACGAGGACTACGACGCAGAGGCTCCCGTCCGCTTCATTGGCGACGGCAGCACCATCCGCCTGATCCACGCCCAGACTGGTCGCAACCTCCACTCTCACGAGATCGCCGCCCCCATCACCAAGGCCGACAAGGAGGTCTCCTCCTACGGCAACCTGACCATTGGAGATGACAAGGACCACTGGCAGGTCGAGGTCGTTCGCGATGTTGCCTCTCGCGACCGCAGCCGCATCCGCACTCTCACCACTGCGTTCCGTCTCAGACACCCGGTCCTTGGCTGCTACCTTCGCGCTGGAAATGTGAACCTGCCTCAGTGGGGTTTCAAGCAGATCGAGGTTACCTGCACCAAGACCAACAACCCCAAGGACACTTACACCCACTGGAACGTCGAGGCTCACTGGAACGACAAGCGTAAGTGCTCATCAATGCAGACTATGATACAGCCCTTGCTAACCTAAACCTAGTGCCCCCCGCCGACGCCGGTTCCTACAAGTCTCCCTTCCTCCACGACTTCATCCACCTCAACGTCGCCATGATGACCTCTAACAACGCCCTGGTCCCCGACCCCGATAAGCAGGACGACCTCGCTTCCCAGTGGTGGCAGTGGCCCATCCTGCACGTTGGTCTGCGCATGTGCGGCTGGGACGACAGCATCGTCAAGTACTTCCTGCTCGGCAACCCCCTCGTTTACTGGGGTAGCACAGCCGGCCTTGGAGTCTTCGGCCTCGTCGTCCTCTGGTACCTCGTCCGCTGGCAGCGTGGCTACAGCGACCTGAACGAGAAGGAGCTTGACCAGATCCACTATGCGGGAGTCTACCCCGTTGCCGGTTGGGTCCTGCACTACCTCCCCTTCATCGTCATGGCTCGTGTCACCTACGTCCACCACTACTACCCGGCGCTCTACTTTGCCATCCTCACCTTCGGCTTCCTGGCTGACTGGTTCCTCCGCAACAAGCAGCAGGCCGTCCAGTACGGCGTCTACGGAGCGCTGTACGCGGCTGTCATTGGTCTCTACATCTTGTTCAGCCCCATCTGCTTCGGCATGACGGGCCCGAACAAGCAGTACAGCTACATGAAGTGGTTTGATACCTGGAGGATGTCTGACTAGAGCACTCTTGGAGGTAATCTACGGTGGAGGTTTCTTCTATCAAAACGGTCCATGGATGGACCCTGTATTTGAAAGGGCGAAAACAAACTTCCATTTTCCCCACCCAACTCTATGTAAGGATATGGGCGATGATGAGCGCGTCGACGTAAAGATATACATGTTGAGATAGGGGAAGATGAGGAGGAGGTAGACGGCGGAAAGAGACTTCCGTACATAATGCAACATGAACTGTTTCCTTGCTTCCATTGAGGATACATAGTCCGCTTTGCTTGCGTACGTGAACGTGTATTAAAATTATAGTAATAGTACGATGATGGACGAAC